GGAGACTTGGTATTTCGTTGGTTGCTTTGATGAATTTTTAAGTTGAGATCTAGAGAAGTTGGTTGCTATTTCAAGTGCTCTTCATTGAAAGTTAGATACTTTTCTACAACATGGTGTAGAATCGAAACTGATGCACTGATGTTTTTTTTAAAGATTAAATGCATTTAGGTATAATAATAATAATAGTAATAATCACTGCCTACTAAGTCCAACAACCTCTACTGTCTACACATTAAATATAAATTGTGCCGTCATACAATTGCCGTCTAGCGGAGTTTTCCATCTTTTTAAACTACTCAATCCCACTTTTAAGTTTATAATTAATCTCATCGTTTATGTCCATTAAAAAATTATTTTAAATCATCTCATCAAATATTCTTTACGTAAAAAGCGGTATTTTCCAAGGCCAGCACATTTTTCTAATAAGAAACTGGCAAACCACTAACTGAACACAACAACACAATCATTTGCTCCCATTTCAGGCCTGCATGTCGCTACCCTCGAAAACCAACAGAAATAACTGAACATACACGAAATTACCAAAATACCCTCCACTCTCTACTTTTGCATCATATACCACACATACCCTCAACGAAACCAAAGGCAGAGAGAGCTTCTGAATTTTTCCTTTTCACACTCTCTCTCTCTCTTTCCTTTTGTCTCCCTCCTTCCTCTTCCCAAAGTTGTTTCCCACCAAGAAAAAACAAAGATGGGATGTGGGAAATCAAAACACGCAGTTGTCACCGAGACCACCATCGTGAAATCCACAAAATCTGATGACGGGAAAGAAACCCGCAAAACCAAAACCGTCACGGAGAAAGGCGACTCGATGTCCGTACAAGAAGTCGAAACAACGACATCTGTTGTCGAAGACACCAAGAAGGAGACCACCACAACAAAAGTAGACCCCATCGGTACTGCCAATGTAGGGGCCAGTTTGGCCCCTACATTGGCAGACGAAGAAGTCACAAAAGAAGATGAGAAGGTCACCGATGTGGCCCCCACAGATGATGTGGACGACGTCATGAAAGCCGTGAAGGAAGATGAAGAAGTTAAGAATTCAGATACCACCGACGTGGTCCCCACATCGAATGAAGGTTGTGCGGAAGTTGTGAAAGATGACGAGAAGAAAGAATCCGCAATGACAGATGAAAAGGAGGCTAAGAAAGATAATGCGACTCCCACATTGAGGGAGAATGTTATGGAAGCCACATTGGTCGTGAAGAGTGACAACAAGTTTAAGGATTCCAAAGAAGAAATGACCTATGAAACACCAATGAAAGCCACCGAAGATTTTCCGATCACCGAGTTCACAACCCCAAAAGTCCAGGAACTAAAAGCCAAAGAATCGACCAAAGTGGAAACAAAGAAAGGTATGAAACTTAGATGATCAATTGAAATTCATTATAAATTAATATCTAAATGGTCAAAACATATAAGATCTTGATCGCCGCATGTTTGTCCTAGCAAAAATCAAGTGAGAATCCATAAATAAGGTTTCATCTTCAAACATAATATCACCTTCTGTCATCCTTATTCTAGGGACATTATTCTAGGGACATTATGATTTATCTCCCTTATATGACGCGTTCCCTTCTAAAATATATGATTAAGGGACCCTTTATCGTTAAATCTTACATGGGTAAAGAAATTGAATAGGTAGTGATATCCGGATAGAGTGTTGAATAAATGAGATCAGTTTTATGTTAGACGAATAAACTGTCCGAATCTGACTTTATTTTTAGAACCGGCAATTATTATTAGCGGACCACTACC